GTTCAATCAGGTCGATGCCTTATATCAAGAAAGTTGACAGAATGCTCCAGTGGAAGATGTATTGCTGATTATAATGCAATTTTTAATCGTACCAGTTTTAGTACAGATTGTAATGTTAATCAATCAATGATAACAAAGTTATTCTACATTAAAATACAAAACATCGATTTTGAAGCATGAGAATATGAGAAACTAACATATAGTTGTATGTCACAAGAATGTATTAATGGAATAACATTTAATCATGTTTGGAATGAAACTTCTATTTTATTTGATCGCATTAAATATATTGTTGAATGGTTTCAATTTAAAAACCAAATGAAAAAATTTCTCAATCCTTTGTAGAAGAATGTTCAATTTTCAGAGACAGATCAATCGGATAGATATATAATAAAAATTTATCAATATTTCTTAATAAATGGAGCTTGACTTGTTTGTTTTTATATTATTGATTTTAATTGCTATTTGCTGTCATTGCGTTCATTTATCTTCAACAACATCAACAAGTGCATAAACACTTTCGGTCAATTATTTTGCCCTTTTGTTTCGAACAAATTTCTTCTTGATATAAACTACTATAAAAAAGCTTGTTCGCGCAGCCCTAATAGAGATTAAATTTAGAACTTTCATGTTTTCTTTAGATCCATTATTCTAATACAAAACATACGTTATAGAATCTTCAAAATCAAGAGTATGCTTTGTGGCGATACACATTTTCATTATGCTATTATATGTATTTTATTGTCATTTGTTAAATACAAAAATATTGAAAAACTTCTTACTAGTTCTTGCAGAAAATTTCACCAATGACAAAAAAACGAAATTCGTCGAACCGAAATTTCCCAGTTGAAATTGGAACACAAAAATAACATTAAAGTGATTGATATTTGAACAAGAATAACTAGTGAAAAACTGTGACGAAAAAAATCAATCCAAAAGAAGATTCTTGTGTAGCGGATTTAAATTATTCATTTGAATTAAATGAGACTCGGTTTAAAAAAGGATTTTTCATCTCTCACATTAAATTCATTATTTGACATTTTACTCTGATGCTTTTTCAACATCTGTCTGAATAATATCATTTAATTTTTAGTAAATCGGCTAAAGTGATTTTCTAACGATGAAATTATATAATCATATGATATTGACTTCCATATACTTTTGTCGATTTTCAATGACTGAATTCGATATTGTGTAGTGATTGTGTGAATGATAGATAGAATATAAGAATAAGTTCTGAAAATTTATTTAAAATACTATTTTTGTCAATTTAAAATCGAAGAACATTGAGAGTCCCCCCGAGAGATGAAGAATTTCTATACATTCAATTTTTCGAATAAATATTCGCAGAGAATTATTTCAAAAACATGTTTCTTCAAAATCATTGAGAGAGAAAAAACAATGCATATCCTTCTCACATCCATATTTGAATAGTTAATGAACCGTGTCAGTAAAAGACAGGCGTATCTTACTGTCCATATTATCTGGTTCGATAGTTAGATTAATGGATATATTTCTATATAACAAGAAATAGCATGGAAAAAAAAGAAATTATAAAAATGCTTCGATGATTTATCGAATATGGTTAAAAATAGCAAGATTAATATCAACATGAATTACACCATATGCAATAAAATTTGTTATTACTATTTTAAAATTATATTACCTTTCTAGTAGAAAAGACAGTGTATTTAAGCAAATAGACTCTTTAGAAAAATAATCTTCGGACGAAGACATCCAAGGAGAGAACGTGATGAAAACATTCGATTCGAAACATAACGTTTCTTATCAATGAACCTATGATATTTGAAGATTTTTACAGAACAGCAATGAAATCAAATTTTATTTTCTTTATTCTAACGATTTCTTTGTTAACTATGGTGTGTTGGGATAGATGTGAGTTAAACGAAAACATACATTCAATATCTACATCCATACCCAGTGATTCACTATTGACAGTCACCTGTGTCAACAGTCAAAAACACAATGAAAACAATTAGTTCATGAAAGTAGATTCTTGTACCTTTCCTGGAAGATAGTAAATTAGAGTTATGATTACTTGCTTTTAACGATGGACTGATTTTACAATCAATATCTTCTTGTAATGCTCACACTTACAACGAAAAGTCTCAAAGTAAAAATACTATTTCATTATTGGCTTGAACAGCAAAATATGCCGTGAGAAGAAAATATACAACTATTTTGATTTTTAGAATCAAATACAGAAGCAGACTACGAAGTAAAGTGGCTCAAAAAGGTATGTATAAGCATAAATATTATTGGACAGTCGTCATTGAAACTACTTGTAAGACAATGTTATGAGAGGTAAAGTATGACCTATACGAAAACAAATATAGTTTTGCTACCAGTTATTACTGCATAAAAAAAATCAATTGATGTTACGCGATGAAAGAAATTCGGAATACAGTCTGTATCAGTCAAATGAGTTCAACGCATCGGTTAGGATCTCACTCGATTTAATTTCTTATCAACCAATTCAGGCCCTCTTTTTTCTTGATTGAATAGACCAAAATCATTTTTTATATTCTGATTAAGTGTTGGATACACTGCAACGTTTCATACGCATAAAGAAAAGAAAAAACTATTTATTCCAAAACCCAGATTATAATGAAGTTGTCTTAGTAAGATTCATTTGGTGCTGATTCAGACAAATTTGTGAGTCCGCTGTTTTCGTCGTGCTCGTTGTTGTTCGAAGAAGAAATAGTACTTTCGATGGTTACTCTCTCACAGAAGAATGATGTCACTTGCATTGGTTGTTGAGTGTACGATAGCGGCTGAAAAGCGATGAGAGTGCATCGACATTGTTTCAAACGGTGAATATAAGTCGAATATTAGTGCCGGCTACGATTTGTGTGTAGAAACTTATGATTCAAATTGGCAGAGAGATATGATTACTGGTCGATGCCAGTTGTGCTCTAGCTAGTGCCAGTGTCGCATTTTTTAATTGGACATCATTACTCTCTTACCAACTGCCTAGTAATTGTTGAGCACTGATGATATTTGCGATATAACTAACACTCACGATGAGCAGTACAACAGTCAGATGAGAGAACAACATCGTGTTGATGTTTCTGTCTGCTAGATAACAAAGAATGAATTTTGAAACGTACAGCAAACGATGAGGATAAAGGCACATACACAAATATTTTTAATAGACACTATTTATAACTCGTATTGAATCAAATTGTCATTCTTAATGGTTCTTTTTGTTTACATCCATTCTATTTTTACATCAGTCACTAATACATACTTGAGATGATCGAGGGAAAGAAATTTTCAAAATGAAGAGACAAGTTTTTACGAATGTAGATGTGACGAATGTGTAGATGTAGGTGTTTATCTCCTCTTTACTGACATTCATACTCTTTCTCTTCATATGTTATATTCAATCGATTTATTTATTTAGAAAAAAAAGCTCTTTAAAAATATTTGATTAATGATAGTTGTTTTTTGATAAGGTACAAATGCACATAGTATACAAGTTAAAGATGAATCGGATAACGATGAAGATGTTATACAAATTGATGAAATTGATTATTATTAGTATTGTGGTTCATATAACTTTTGTCTTATTTTTCGAAACAAAATAAAAATGACAATAATAGTTCGTTGAATAAATGATTATTGTACATCAAAATCTCTTCAATCACTTTCTGTTGATCTTCAAAATTATGTTTTTTTATTGATCATAATGGTTATGCTGATTGAGATCCATTATTACAATATAAATAAGTAGTATTGATCAATATGCCAATATAAAAATTTATGAAAGACAAGCATTAAACCGAATGATGCTTACAGATCATCCATAAATGACGTTCACATCAACGAGAAACCAAGGAAAATGGATAGAGTTAAGCATTTCTGTACTTGCAGAAGCTTACTATGAATATTTCTCCGTTTTTTTTATACAGCTTTCGCCGAAATTATGAGTATTAGTTTGTTTTGAAGAATATTCTTAAATAGAGAGTGAACTAAATGTGAATTTTTTGAATATGAATATACTACTAAAATCATTCAAGATTATTCAACATGATCAGATTGTTATTTTCTGAACCAGTTATATGAGCGTTGCTAGATATTCGGCTGCCATTCGTATGAACCTTCATTTTTCCAAGTGTTTTGCTCATTAAAATCGAACGTATCTAAAAAAAAAAAAAAGTATTGATTCGATTTAATTTCTGTTTTCTGCGTATTCATTCATGTAAATCATACCCATAAGTACGTGAGCAAAGTTGTTCACGAATTTAGAAAGCTTGTGCATTTCTAAGTCTGGAATATTTTTTTGCATCCAATTATCTCCTTACAATTTAATAAAAACAAGTCTTTTCAAATTTTCGTAGAGGTCTTAACAGCAGATCTTTTCGTACAATGATGCTCTCGAAAGGTTGAGTAGCATAATAGTGATGGTCGAAATATCGAGAGATTCATTGTAAATCAGCCATTCAATAGCTAACCATACTGAATTGAATTCTGCAGAACAAATTTTTGTCAAAGTGTCACTTATGATACTTACGTTGGATTGAGGACGAGTATAATCAGCGGTGATCAAGCACTGTCTTTCAAAGACATAGATTCGTTTAAATGTCTAAAGAAAATCGCTCATCTAAAAAGAAAAGCAAAACTGATCAATATGTGATTATTCTGATAATGATCAGTCTAGTAGAAAAATATCATAAAATCCAGATTAGAATGTCTTTTCGTAAATAGTTCTGTTAAGGAGGATAAATTGTAAAGTCAGGCGTTTCGACAATGCCAGGTCTCATCCTATCACGCGGTTCGGCGGCGCCGGAATTTATCTTCTCGCGCGATTCGACCCACGCTTTGGCAATAGCTCGTTTCGTATCATCGTCGCCATTTTCGTACATTTCCTCCACCATATTCATAAGGGCTTCACTCGAATCCTTTGACTTATCAAGTTTTGGCAACGGTCTACATCAGAAAAGAGAACAAGTTTCTTAGGCATAAGAAGACTTCACTTACTTGATAGGTGCTTTCTTCTCGTCCTGCAAAAAGCATTCCCAATTTTTCGACTCGACTTTTCGTAACGACAGAATGACCATATCCTTTTTGACCTAGATACACGAGAAATTTACAAGAAAATCAGACAACAATTCGATATAAAAAAAAACGGACTTTGAAAGTCGATTGATCCGGTTGAATATCATGAAGAAGATGGGTTCTTTTCAAGGAATAGTTGATATTTTTTAGATTTTGAATTTGTAAATGAAAGCCACTACGATGTTGCGATGTTAAATAATGATAAATCGGAGAAAGACCTGATCATCAATTCTTACCTTTTTTCGAACGAGCATTGAATCTGGTTTTCGGGTAAGTTGCCGACACCGTCCAGATTTTGAACGTAGACCTTGACAAATTTATCATTTTGATCCCATGCTGTAACCAATAGTAGAATATAGATAGAAATTGTGGTGGTACTGTTGTCCTACCATAGACTGATATATCCTTTGTATATGATCGAGTAGCGGTTGGCAAGGCGCTGGCACTTGCTGCCTTCTCTTCTGCTTGAGCAGCAGCCTGTTGTTGTTGTTTCTGTAGCTTCTCTTGAAGTTGGATTAATTCCTTTTCGAATTTGCGTTGTTGAAGCTCTAAATTTTGCTTTATGCGAGGACGAGTGGTTTGGTCGATCAGGCGTTTGGCTTCGTCGATGTCAGTGCTGACCTATGAAAGACAAAATGTTCATGGATCAATTTTAATCGTTGTTCGAGCGCAACATCTGCAAATATCTTTTGCAGAGAAGTTGAAACGATCCTCTTCGATATCTTGAGAAAGTCGTCATGTTTTGGTACAACTTCATTTGCAAAGACAGATTACCTACTACTTGTCTCGTACCTCTTGTATTTGCTCTTCAAGTGTCATTGTTGTCTATTGATCGATGGAGTTAGGAGACACAAAATCTAAAAGTCAATACATATAGACACAACTATTTTTTTACTATAAAATCAAAGAATCCTGCATTATAAAAGATTCACTTGAAGTGCTGCGTTTATCACAGCAACTAGTCATCGATACAGTTGCTTTCGATTAACTTTCGATAAGTGACCATGCCGTTTTATTTTGAAAATGTTGGACGGAAAATAAAGCCAAATTGGCCACTTTATGATAACTAGGATTATCAGGCACTGTCAATGGATCAATTTGTTGGAACAGTTGCCAAATGTTCGGTGAACATTCTATTTTGTGGATATAACAGAAAAATTTTGGCTTGCGACAGATTATTCGGTCATGAATTTCCACAAAAAGATGTGCCACTATTTGTTGGACAGCACACGACAGAAGAATGTGTGTCTTCTCTATGTATTCAGTTGTCTGATTTCATTCTTGCCACTCGCTTGGCCTTCGACTGTATATTCGACTCTTTTGGTGTAATATACTGCTTTACAATCTTCAACAAAGCTAGTATCCAACGCTTCAAAAGGGGGGCTAGTTGTGTGTGTATGTTGGTATTAGCGATAATCTTGTTGTGCACAATGGCATGGGGGTGCGTGCGATGAACACCCGAAAAAATATACAAAGTTAAAAATATGGTTTAATGATAAGAATAATGCATTATTCTTTGTACATAGATGGCTTTTACTGTGCCTTAAAAAGCGTCAATGATACAGAGATTTGAAACGGGCAGCACTTCTTAATAAAATCACAATGATATTTCTATACCAAACATATAAGATTTGAAGGTCCGAAGCACTTCAATCTTCTGGAAATTTGAAAGATGCTGTCTAAGCATTCCCAATCTGCGTGCCTTTGCAATTTTTGAAGGCATACCAAGAGCTATCTATGCACAACAAATGGCACTGGTGTCTGTTCGAATAACAGAGAGAACGGATACAAATTAGCAAGGTTTTCTTATAATTATGAAATAGAACTGATTTGAGTAGCATATTCATTCCTATCCTTTGCATTTAATTAATAAATAGCCAAAACCACCTCATGATAGCTACAAAACAGACACATATTTCATAATTTTTTTCATAAAATTGGAAAAATTCGCACTATTCACTATCACTTTCTTCCTTTTCATACGCTTAGACACTATCTAAAGTTTCGAAATCAACAAGAGCACATACTAGCAGAAAATTTATTTTATTTCATTCAGTTTTGCTTTCGGTAGAGTGAATATCAATTCTTTGAGTAATGCGTTTCGTCTAATGTATTAGTCATTCAAAACATCTCAGAAGTAGATGTCGGCATAAACCTGAACTATTCTCCGAACAAGAAGCACGAAAAGACCCTATGTTAACGAACCAATGTTACCAAACCACAATATAAAACTACGTAAAAAAACCACCCTGACTATTACCATTCATTTATCAGCAAAATTCTGAGACAACGTCAGTCATCATCAGATTATATTCCACAGACAAAATATCTTTGACTGCCTGGAGAGAACCATACATTTACGATGTATGGAAGTATCATCATTCAATAGCAAATTGAATGAGATCCTCCCCAAGTTTCTACTTACTCACGTGTACGAGAATTTTTTGGCAAACATTCTAGCAGGACCATCATCTATACTGCACAGATAGACTTCTTTTCTCACTCACCAGAAATTTTCATTACAGGTATGTAAAAATATTATCATTCTACAACAAATTGAATTCTATATCAAATGACATCGTCTCGAAGTTTCTTTCTGATTCGTAGGTGACAAAATTTTGTCATAAACATTTTAGAAGGACCATCTGTCATACTGTACAGGTAGATTCTTTTTTCTCACTCACGATAAATATTTATTGCCGGCATGTAAAAATATCATCATTCGATCGCAAATTGAATTCTTCATCGAATGACACCCTCTCGAAGTTTCTTTCTGCTTCATAAGTGACAAAATTTTGTCGTAAGCATTCTACCAGGACTCTCTTTCATAATGTACAGGTAAATTCTTTTTTCTTACTCACGACAAATATTAATTGCCGGTGTGTAAAAATATCATCATTCAATAGCAAATTGATTTCTTCATCGAATGACATCGTCTCGAAAGTTCTTTCTAATTCATAAGTGAGAAATTTTGTGTGTGGGTATAGATACCATTTTTCTGTTAACAGCTACACCCACCTGCTGTTGCCTATTCAAAGTTGTTTTTCTGGTTGTTATTCTCAAAGATTGTTGGTTAACTTACAGAATTCCATGCTCACTAATGCATGACTTGGTACTCTTTGCTGACAATCATAAGCATTGCTCATGAGACAGAATGTCAGGATCGTCAGCCTCTAGAACTGACGTTTATTGGGCAGCTATTTCGCAAAGATCTGAGCCTACATATGTGCCAAGAAACTGTAGTCTGTCATTATCTGAGATTGATGAATAGGCTGGTGAGTTCTGCTATGCCGTTTACGCATAGCAATTTAACCCGAGCTACTCCGCGTTGCCGCAATCTGTTAATAGGTAACTATAGGTTTGTTTGGCTCACTTCTGTTAATTCATGTGAGTTCAAGAGCGTTCTAATCATACTCTTGGGAAATGCTATAATTTTTGCACCTTTCACATTCACTGTTGTACATATCGACACTCTACGATAATGTTAGTAGTTTTGGATTTCTTTATGATCAATTTTTTGGTACGTTTATGGTGATGGTTCTATTTCATTTTCATCGAAAAATAATAGATCATGTGTACTATAATAAAAAAAAAGCTAATATGCCAAGATAAATTTTCATATTGGTTTTGATCGTTTCCATTATTAGGACCATATTAGTGCTATACATTTCAGTTTTAAAATATGTAGTTTTCCTTTTTAAACTGTCCTAAGTGATAATTTACTACAGTGTACGTTTGCTTTTCTTATCTATCTTCTTTTCTCTTTTATTGTTTTATATAGATATCTTCAACTAAGAAAAATGTTGAGGGCGATTGCGTTTATCAAAAGTAAAATATTCAAGCTAGTAAGCACATGACGAGTGCGTGCTACCAAGGAACAAATTCATAGTGATGCAAAAAGCTTTATTTCGCGTGGAGTAAAAAGGGTAATATTTATTTCTGTATTGTATGAACTATAAGAGTGTGCAACTGTCAGCTGAGGACATATATGGGATGATGGGATGAGAACAATAAACTGAACTAATCCTCTGAACAACCCACATATCGCAGAAGCACCCATAGCATAGACATGTGGACCTACAGACATCACACACTTGCAGCTAGGATGTTGGTGTAGCATAGGCATCAATCTTCTCGTCACACCTACACTCATACTCTTGTTAACCTCCTTGCGACACAGTTACGCAGTATCTAGCGCTGTTCACCCTGATGCAGATACACTGATCAGTGGACTGACAGCTTTTTACCGAGATATATTGCATTTTCCTATTTAAATCAAAATATATTCCCGTCATTTCCTTCGGACTCACAATGATTACCATGCTATTTGAAGCTATCAGCTCTTATCCTATGCAAATTGTTCTATTGTCTGAAGTTGTTCGAAGTCAATTCTATAGGCTGCGTCGTGGTCCTGAGATCTTCATCACTGCTTTGAGAATTCAGTACAAGGATCGGAATTTCACGGTGACTTCGAAGTACAACCATATTTCTCAAAGTTTTTTTATCTAATTTTTGCTAATTCCTCATTGACACGAAACTGTTTCGTCAACAGACAGATCATGTTGGATATAGACAATGCTGTACGGTTGAGACTAAAGAAAATTTCAAACAGATAACAGACAGGTACAAAATACAAATGTCGTTAATTTTTCATCGAAACCAGTAATTAACCGACGCTCAAATTATTTGATGATTTTCTCCGATTTTTTTCGTAAATTTTGCTATTAAATTAATATTGTTTGTCTTGAACAGATCAATTACTGCTTTAAAAAAATGTTGATTTTATTGTGCCACACTATCTTTAATAAATAGTGAAACTTGAAATGTGACCAAAAACAGTCGATGTAGCTGTAGCTGATATACAGATGGCTTGAATGCGCTTCCAATTATTAGAAAGCACCATTTCGATTGAAATCAATCATTTTTCTCAAAGATTAAAAATATTCGTAAGTAAAACATAATGATAAATCAAGAAGAATCACTGTTAACAAGTGGTTTTTGAACAATTTTTACGACACGAGTAGCGCATTAATACAGCCAATGACTGACATACATTGATATATCGATCGGCTTGTGTAAAGTCGAACATAATTGTCAATGTCATATCTGTATTAAATGTTCCTAATATTCGCAATGTCTCGATACTAAATATATAGCTCAAATCTTCCTAATAATTAACTTACCACAGTCAAATATTTGCAACCGATACGTTTGCTGCTAACTGGACTTTTTTTTTGCGTCGTACTCTGTTTGTTGGTTTTTTCTTTCAAGTGACTCGAGTCTTACTTTTGCAGCATGGCAACTTTTTTTTTATTCCGTTCTGTGTTCTTTGCTTCCTTCTTTTTCCTTTTCTTCATATATGCGCTCTATTGAGAAGGACAATGCATAGCAACAGTAGAACATTCACAGGACGAATGGGAGAAGAATGATGATAAAGAAGCCAAAAAAGAGATTCAGATCGTTCAAAATTAGACAATGACTAACAATAAGACTTTTCGTTGCATTTTTGCTTGATGATTCAATTAATAATAATTCACAGAGTACGACTGTTTTAAGAAAGATATTTCCTTGTATTTCTTGTTAAAACAAATAATACATAAATTACCATAAACATGAAACAATTTTTCCATAAGATGATACAAATATTTATAATTTTCATCAGAAATTATTTTAGAAGATTCGACACTATCTTAGTTCTCAATAGAAAAGAGGGAAATGAAAAGCATTTAGCTTGTACATTAAAATTTGAACTTCTAAAACATTTACATTTCGAAAGAAATATTTGGAAAAAATTGATTTATTTTTTTTATCTAATTCTT